TGTTAGATCGCACATTCCGCCATTCACACCAGAGATTTCTATTGTTCTCGGCGCAGGGGGCGGAGTCACTTACTGTGATGTCACATGGAGAGGTTTGTCGGCGTCCGGCGTCTCTGCGGTGGGGTGTCCGCGCTGCGTCCCGGATTCGGCGTTTCGGGCCTTCTGGGTGACGGGGGAGGTGGTCTCAGAGCCCAGGACCGGCATAGACTTGGACTCGGTGGAGCTCAGGGGCCCCGCTGGAGGAGGAAAGGAAAACCATGATCACATGGTACCGGCAGAAGACCCTCCCACTCGCCATTGTCACATGACTCGCGCCTTTACCTGAACGCCGGCCCCCCAAAGTGCACCTGTCACAGAGAAGGGACCGCTGCCCTCAGGAAATGCCACGTGCCTGGTGACGCTGACCCACAGGGAGGATTGTTCCCCCCCGCTCAGGCTCATCAGTGCTGGATTACATACGTGACTTCACTGGTAACACGGGTGGGGGAGGGGGGACGTGTAGGGGGGTCAGAAGTCTGCTCTCTTCAGGGCTCTGGCTCAGCAAAGTCTATGAGATGAGCGGAGGGGTAAGGACATTTACCCAGAAGTCCCTTCTGCTTTCAGAGAGGAGTAGGTGGGCGGAGCCTACAATCTATGCCAGATGTCCATCACTCCTCCCCCAAGGAGGTCACATGATAACATGGCCGCCCACTTACTGGAGGCGTCTTTGTCTGTTGTCACTTTGCGGCGCCGTAGAATCCTCTGCAGTTCTGTTTCGGTGGAGGCGGGGCTTATGGTGCCAGGTCTCCTCCGATTGGTTGAAGGGTTGATCGTATCCTGCAATGAGACAATCTATTATCTCCGCCCTCCGCCCCCCATGGAGGACATATCAGGCGGAGGGTCTCGGGACTCACCAACATGCTGCGGAGCTCCTGGACCGCACTGCCCGCAGATCTCCCCTCGCCTGGCTGCTGGAAGAAACAACGCAGAGATTACCCCGTGTGTGCGTCCCGTGTGTGCGTCCCGTGTGTGCGTCCCGTGTGTGCGTCATACTGACATCCATCACAGTGAAAGAAACTGACAACAATATGAACTCCAAACAAAGAAATCCGACCGGAGACAAATAATCCCCGAACCAATCAGAGGATGAGAGAGAGATCACCTGACTGAGTTCCCAGCTCCGCCCATTATGAGGGGCTCCCACCATCCCTGTGCCCATTATG